GGATTTAAAGTGGTACCCCTACGTTTAGGGGTACATCCAGAAACGGGGGGAATTGGTGTGCTGGATAAGGGGATTATGATGCTGGCTGAGGGGAGGAGAGGTGTGGGAGGTTACCAGGACAGGATTGGCTACTGTCATAATTACTGTAAATCCCTCCCTTGCATGGGAGCATGCTTTATAAGGAGACTGTGATTAAAGGCTTGTCAGTTCTGCTCCTGAAACTGTGTGTCGTCCAGTTATTGGGATTGCTGTGGGGATATTGCTGTTGTTTTACCTGCTGGAAACTTTGCCTATGGATTTATTATTTACTTGTTCCTGAGCCTCACTTGGATTATAAGCGGAGATAACCTGGGGAATATTGCATCTCCGCTACACCCATGTCACTGCCTCTCCACCCCCGTAACCCGTGTCACTGCCCCTCCACTCCCCCCACCCCCTGTCACTGCCCCTCTACCCCCAACCCCTGTCACTGCCTCTCTACCCTCCACCCCTGTCACTGCCCCTCTTGCCCCTCTAACCCCTGTCACTGCCCCTCTACCTCCCTAACCCATGTCATTGCCTCTCCACCCCCTTAACCCCTGTTACTGCCCCTCCACTCCCCCACCCCTGTCACTGCCCTCTACCCCAACCCCTGTCACCCCTCTACCCCCTAACTCCAGTCACTACCCCTCTACCACCCTTAACCCCTGTCACTGCCCCTCTCCCCCAACCCCTGTCGCTGCCCCTCTACCCCCAACCCCACCCTCTGTCGCTGCCCCTCCACACCCCTAACCCCTGTCGCCCACACAGTGCACCCCTGTCGCTCACACAGTGCACCCCTCACAATCATACACACTGTACCCCACACACACTGCATCCCTCACAATTACACACACTGTACCCCTCACAATCACACACACTGCACCCTTCACAATTACACCACACTGTACCGTTCACAATTACACACACACTGCACCCCTTACATGCTGCACTGCTCACAATCAAACACACACACTGCACCTATGTATATTTGTATACATATGTGTGTGTATGTATGTATGTATATGTATGTGTGTGTCTGTGTATATAAAAATGCATATACACGCGGCGTGTTTTTTTGTGCTTTAGGGTGCACACTCTAATGCACGCCTATGGGTTAATTGTAAACCTATGTTATTGTTGCTCAGGATATTCAAAAGTTGTTGGAACCTGGTAATTGAACCAGTCCAGAATAGGAGCACATCATCGATGTATCTATGCCAACTGAGTATATGTTGGCTATATTTATAATCAATACTTGTGAGTACAGTTTCTTCCCACCACCATAAATTCAGATTTGCATAGGTTGGGGCACAAGCTTTTACCCAGTGGCGTCACTGGGGGGGGGCAGGGCTCCCCCTAGATCAGGCTGTGCCCCCCCTCTATCCCCAACTGGAAATTAAGTTACTGTTCGCTGGGCTCCCTCCAGGTTACTGAGAGCCCAGCCCCTGAGCAGTTGGATCCTGCAGGCAGGGGAATCCCCCTCCCTGTAAGCACTACAGACACTGGAGGGAGGAGGGAGCAGGCTGTGCTCACTGTGATCCGCTCTCCTGCTCCCCCAGCAGACACAAGGGGAGACTTCCTGCACCCTGGAGAATGGTTTCTCCTCCACAGCACTAGCACAGGTATTGCCCACATGGATCCTAAGGGGGCAGATTTTGTGTATGTTTGTGTGTGTGTGTGTGTATATATAAAGTGTGACTGTAAACTGGTGTGAGTGACATTGTGTGTGTACACTTTAGTAAGAGTGTGTGTTATTGAGTGTGTCAGTGACATTGCGTGTATACTTAATTACAGTGTGTGTTAGTGAGAATGTGTGACATTGTGTGTTAGTGAGTGTGTGTGACATTGTGTGCATACGTAATAGTGTGTGTCAGTGACGTTGTGTGTATACTTAACAGTGTGTGTTAGTGAGAGTGTGTCAAATTGTGTGTATACTTAATAATAGTGTGTATTCGTGAGAGTTTGTGACATTGTGTGTATCCGTAATATTGTGTGTCAGTGACTTTGCGTGTATACTTAATAATAGTGTGTGTTAGTGAGTCGCATTGTGTGTATACTTAATAATAGTGTGTGTTAGTGACAGTGTGTCAGTGACATTGTGTGTATACTTCATAAGTGTGTGTTAGTGAGAGTGTGTGACATTGTGTGTATACTTCAGTAAGAGTGTCTGTTAGTGAGAGTGTGTAAGTGACAATGTGCGCTTACTGAAGAGTATGTGAGTGACCATGCAACCCATTATATTCATAATACATTTTATAGATTATAAGGAAAAAAATGTTTTACTTACAGTGAACCTGTTAGACAGGTTCACTGTAACATTAAAGGGACGCTATAGTCACCTAGACCACTTCAGCTCAATGAAGTGGTCTGGGTGCCAGGTCCCTCAGGTTTTAACCCTTCAGATGTAAACATAGCAGTTTCAGAGAAACTGTTTACATAGAAGGGTTAATTCAACCTCTAGTGGCTGTCTTCCTGACAGCCGCTAGAGGCGCTTCTGCGACGCTGAATGCGAAAATCGCATCCAGCGTGCAGAACGTCCATAGGAAAGCATTGAGAAATGCTTTCCTATGGACTGTTTGAATGCGCATGCGGCTCCACTCGGGAGCGGTCGTCGGCGGGGGAAGGAGAGGTCACCAGCGCAGAGGGAGCCCGGCCCTGGATTAAAGTAAGCCCTTCAGCCAAGAGGGAGGGGGACCCTTAGGATTGTAAAGTGTCAGGAAAACAGGTTTGTTTTCCTGACACTATAGTGATCCTTTATTCAAATTAAACCCATTACTATAAATTAAATCCCACAATATTGTAAATAAAATCCCACCAAATAAATGAAAACATTATCACAGCTATAAATTATATATCTAGTGTAAAATGTATGTATTACAGACATCCCAACATGCAAAAATGCATTTCAGGGAGGTGGCTTCACAAGCTACAGCGCCACCCCCGCTTCACCAACACACACAGATACACGTACTGACACATACACACACTCTGGCACATACACACTGAGACACAGATACAGACATTGAAATGTAAACTGGCACATACACTCAGATATACACACAAACACACACACTGGCACTGAGATACACACACTGATGCATACACTCAGATACACACTGAAACACAGATACACACACTGAAACACACACACAGATAAACATACACTCATATACACACACATATTGATATTGACATGCACACAAGTCATACTTTATAGATTTGCAGCCACCTTCCTGTTAGCTTACCTTTGTGTCCAGGAGGGTGGCTTGCTGAGACTTCTGTTGCTGGCTGAGGCTGATGGGAGTGAGCATGCCGCAGCAGCTCACTCCAGCCCTTTGCTTTGCCTCCATACTGCTGCCTCCTCCCGGACGGCAGCTCTGTGTGAAGCAGGGAGAAAGTGATAGGCTGTCATCACTTCCTCCCTGCCAGCTGATATCACAGGGGCCCGGCTCTTAATGGGCCAGCAAACCTCGGGGCCCTTATATATATATATATATATATATATATATATATATATACACATACATACGCATACACACACACATTTTGTAAATGCCCCCCTACTTTTGTCCCTGGCCCCCCATGTGCCCTCCCTAAATATGAATGCTGGAGACGCCACTGGCTTTCCCCATAGCTGTGCCTTTGAGTTGCAAGTAATAGGTGCCATTAATACAAAGTAATTGTGCGTGAGAATGAAAAGTAAAAGGTCCAAGTGGATATTTTTGTGAGACAGGGAGTATTTTTGTGATTTTTCCAAAAAGTAGGATGTAACTTTAATCCCTATTGTGTTTGGAATGTTAATGTATAATGATACCACATCTAAGCTTGCAAGAAGTGTATATATAGGGGGTACCACAAGATTTTCTAAAGTGAGTAGTCTGCTTGGTGTCTTGTAGAAAAGAGGCCAGTTGAGTGACAAAGGGATGTAGTAGATTTTCCAGTATTTGCTGGCATTTTTTATAAGAGATTGGTTCCTAGAAAAGTTCTTTGATTGTCTAACGTTTTGCACCTAGCCGTGCTACCAAACGCCGCTACTATTAGAGCGGTTAGGCAAGAAGCAACGGTTCTTTTTTATTAGACTTATATCTAGGAAGGCTATTAGCCACACCGCTAAGATGTGCGCTGAAACCTAGGTTGGCTTTTACCTCATAATCATGAGATGAATTTACTGTGCATATCCCACACCCCTTAGATGCTATTTGACTAGCATTATCCCCAGTGCATATGCTGCACTCCTTACACACTATCAGATGAGCATTAAGGGTTTGTGTTAGAGATCCATGATACATGTATTTTCACCTTGCTGAGACTTTCCTTCATTTTGTAGAGGGGCTTTTCCCCTTTCTACCACGCACACTATAATCCCCATACTATGTTGGTTATCTTGCTGTTAGTCTTAGACAGATTTTCTTTTTTTTTTAGTACACTTATTTTTAATACAGGTGTTTTTGGTGGTGTTTTTCACCTCGTTTATTTATTATCCTATTAAAAGTTTAGTTTTAATACCCATGTTCAGAGGTTGCACTTTATGTTCTTATATGTACCTTATTTCGTTTCCCGTTACCAGTAGGGAACCCCACTCCCTAGGATACTCTATCTTAATCCTGTTTCTCCTGCTCTCCCTCTTTTCTAGCTGAAAGACTGCACTTACTGAATCCAACCACCACCATGACAACTTTAAAATGGCTTATATTGGGAGACTTCAACACTTGAATTGATGACACCATATCCTTGCTTGGGCAGGATCTCCTCAGCTTGATGAGTGCACTCGGCTTCACACAAATCGTCGCCACTTCCACACACAGAAAAGGTCATACACTAGATCTTATGTTCCAGTCTGGACTAGAAGTGTCACCAGTAACTATAAATTCAGTTGTTTGGTCAGAGCACCACTCCATTCACTTCTCCATTGTATCACAATCAGCCAGACACCCGCCTCAGAACCTGGTCAAACACCGCTCATTAAAGGGGGAGTCATCATTGGATGTAACATCACATCACATCACTAATGGGCACCTGTGAAGATCCCAGCTCCTTAGTCCAACAAAACCATGAGAGACACCCTAGATTCCACAAGGATCCATCTTGCCTCTCATGCTATTCACAATATACTTGCTACCACTGGGGACATCATTAGGTGACATGGCCTAAGGTATCATTGTTACGCTGATGGCACACAACTCTAGTTCTCCTTTGCTCCAGATACTACAGACCCAACATGTCTCATCAACAGTTGCTTAGCAGACCTCAGAGAATGGATGAATGCTAGTTGGCTTAAAGTGAACCCGGGCAAAACAGCGTTACTCTTGGTGAGGGGACCCCGGGCCACAAAAATATCCCATGATCACCTAACTGGCCTGGAACTTGGAGGCTCTGAACTCATTAGTTCATCAAAGGTACAAAACCTCGGAGTGCTGATTGACTCTGGACTATCATTTAAACAGCAGATTTCCTCCGTACTAAAATCTCACTGCTTTCATCTGAAAAACATAGCCAGGATACAACACTTAATTCCACCAGATGATATGCCAACATTAATCCATGCATTTGTTTCCTCTCGGCTAGATTACTGCAGTGTACTTTACTTGGGCCTCCCAGAAAAAGAACTCCTTTGCCTTCAGACTGTACAAAACTGATCAAACTCGCTCCTGCCACATAACACCTGTTCTCCACTCCCTGCATTGGTTTCCAATTAAATGGCGAACATATTTTTAAAATTGGCCTGCTAACCTTCAAAGCCTTAAACAGTACCTGAAAGAGCTCCTGACACCCTACATTCCATCCCGTTCACTTTGGTCAGCCAGCAAAACCCACCTGTGAGTGCCAAGAATAAAGACAGACTCAGGTTCCAGGGCATTTAGCCATGCTGCCCCTACTTTCTGGAACTCTTTACCGTGCGCAATAAGAGAGGCACCATTCTTGCAGACTTTTTAAAAAAAGCTAAAGACCCACCTCTTCCATCGGGCATTCAGTCCACTCATCTGACCTTAGGAAACTCCTAACTTTCATATCTTTATGTTTGTATATTCGTAAAGTGCTTTGAGTCTCACAGGGAAAAAAGCGCTATAAAAATCGCAAATTATTATTATTATTATTAAAATCACTGAAGTTATCATAGTGGTTAGAATGTTCATTTAATAAAGGAATATTTAATATGAAGAAAAATAGTCACAATGCATAGATAAGAAAATGAGCTCCCAAACATATAATTTACACTAACAACAGGTATAAAAAAAGAGAAATGAACAGATTTCAAATTATTCACTCAGCTGTTCCAGAAATGGAATCTTCAGTCACAAGGAGACCTAATGGCATTCACCCAAACTAGATTTGACTCCCAAACTAAACACATGGTTTATTAGAAGCTGATACTAATCTAGGCACAGTGACAAGGTCAACGTCTGGAATACCTTTTTTACATGGAAAGACCTTAAGCAAATGCACTGAAGCAACAACAGGGTATATGAAAACTCTGAAAACAGGGGGAAAAACTCAGCAGTTTGCCCTCCAGTTAGCCTCCCGCAAAGAGCAAGCTACTGAGTTTTCAACCGTCATATTCTCTATTTCTGCTCCATATGTTTAGATATTGCCTGCCCAAACAAAACCTGTGTGACTCTGTAGACCAATATACACGTGAAGGCATTTTAAATATAAAACCTAATGATACACATAAAATGTTATAATGTATTTAGACAATTGAAATTGTACCGCAAGGTCCTGTTCCTTGTATTTGTGTTTTTTTAGTTCTATTTTATGTCAGTCTCATACAGATAGACGATGTATAAGCAGGAGCATTATTAATGATAGATTATTGATTAAAAAAACAACAAATGAGCAGCGGTGGGGTGTGGAAAGGATCGCCAAATTATAGATGATTCTCATGAAAGAAAATGGTATAATATTTGAGGATTAGTATTTCTTGAAACAGGCAGAAGATTTATTTTAAGGAGACAAATAGCTAAATACTCAGAACCATTTGAAATTCCAAGTAATAGTATGGAAGGTGCACAATGGCTGAGTGAGTTGGAATGTTTGCAGCTCACATATTGGTTGCTAAGGGGCACTAACAGGCATTCTGTGGGAGGTGGTGACGCCAAAGCATTTTTGGAATTTTTACAAAGTACTCATCCATTTAGAAGATTTAATCGCAATCCAGTAACTTCCTTTGGCATCACTAGTTTGGATAGAGAACAGGTTAGGTCATCTGCCAGTGACAGATAAAAAAATAATAATGATCTCACAAATGTAAATTATCAGCTGTAGAAACACAAAAACTAGTCCTGTGGGAAAGAGATCCCTCTAATAAATCTGTCACTGGGAGGAACAAACTTTTATCAACGGCACAGATCATTCAAATCATCCAATGTATCAGTTTCCTAGATCTGAAAGGACTCCCACCCTGATCCTGGTGTATCTGAGCCTAGTCATTATTATTTAAAAAATACATAGCCGGTCTGGATGCTTGATAACTTAATTTTGTGTTATATTTGGGATGTGTGTTTGAGAGTTAACTTCTCACCCACTGGTCCAGCAGTTCTAAATGCCAGGAACTTCCTTATAGATAACAGAGAAACAGAGAAGGCATGGATAAAGATTTAAAGAGGGTAATGGAAAATTAACAGATGTGTGAAATGCGCCATAGAGTTAAGAAAAATACTGTACGTAGTAGGAAAACTAATGACATTAAGATAATTCATTGAAATATTTATCAATGGTTATTTTATTCCATTACACTTTCCTGTTGTTTTCCCATTCTTTTCCCAACCTTTTCTGTGTATTCAGAATATTGTAATATTAATGGAATTTACTTACTTGTAGTTTCCCTAATTTAGGCAACATTTTTATCTTTAATAAAACAATACCCAGTGGGCACGGTGAGACAGTAACACATAAGACTTTTCTTATCACATCAATGGGACTCCTAATTCCCACCTGTAGCAGATACAATGAAGAAGAAAGGGGACAGTTTAAATGAGAGGATTTTGAATGATTATAGGAAACAGATTTGCAAATGTGTGCAATGAAAGCACCTGCAGTGTAGTACTAACTAATAGAGGAGGTCTGTCCCAGGTGGCATTGGGGTCCACAAATCAGTCCCTTTTCACCAGAGCAGCCAGCTACCTACCAGTGTGTTGCTGCAAGGGTCCTGCAATGCAGGGGACTATTTTGCTGTTGTAATGGTATAAAAGCGTATTTTTATATACTTTTTTCATATGTATATATTTATTTATTATACACAGTTATTGTATGTACAATATTTATTTGGGAGAAAGACCTTATTTACTTTTGAATGTTGCATGGGGTAGTTGCTCTTCTTATTATTCACTGTATTAAGTGATACTTACTCTTGTTTTTGGTTACAGGAATTACGTGCCCAAGTTGGTCATATCATTTGCATTCAGGACATAGTAAAATAATGTGCATCTGATTTTGTATTCCAGTTTGGTTTTAAAAGTAATTTTTGTATGTATGTATGTGTCTGTATTATAATCAGTAGGTTTTATGTATCTTGTTGATGCCTGTGTTACAAGCATGAATCCATGTTTGCGGTCTTTGTTTCCAGCTACACTGACTCCATTTGTTCTTTTAAATGGACATCATAGTCACCAGAACAACTACAGCTTAATGGTGTCTATATCCTGTCCCTGCAGGCATTTTAGTGTAAACCAAGCATGTCAAATGGACATCTTTGCAGCCCGGCGAGCCACGAGTACATGTTTGGTGTTAAAGCAGAGTAGGCACCTGCTTTCTCCACACTGCACTACCGGGGAGGAAGCAGGACGCTGGCGGCAGCGAGGGAGCTCAGTCTTCCTGCTCCTCACTGCTCCCTTGCGCGCACCATCTGTATCAATGCCGGGTGCCAGAATATGACGGAATATTGGCTATAGGGGGGTGCTGGGATTTAGTAGAGGGGGGGATTGGGATTTAGTTTTGGGGGAGGGCTGGGATTTAGTATATGGGGGGGGACTGGGATTTAGCAGAGGGGAGTGCTGTAGTTTAGTAGAGGGGGATGCTGGTTTTTATATATTCTGTACTTTTCAAAATAAACCTAAGTTTCTATGAAAATTTAAGTTGTTTTTTTTTTGCGGCCCACATAAACTTAAACCTTATTTATTTGGCCCATGCTAAACTTTGAGTTTGACATGCTTGGTGTAAACACTGCCTTTTTCAGAGAAAAAGCAGTGTTTGCATACACTGCTTTTTCAGAGTTTACATTACTACCTAGGGCCACCTCCAGTTGCGGTCACTCAGACGGCCACTAGAGTTGCTTCCTAGGTCAGTGCTGCTCAGTGTACAGCACTGACGTTCAGTGCCTCCACGCAGGGCCGTCTTTAACGCGGGGCAAACGGGGCAGCTGCCCCGGGCCCAGTTTCTCTTGGGGGGCCCGAGGCACCTGCCCCATGGGCCCTGCTGACCCCGGCGGGCGGGTGGCCGGTCAGGCAGGCGGGCGCGCGAGGGAGCACTCACTGCTTCCTCTTCAGCTCCCTCGCGCAGCGCACTGATGCCGGAGCCGGAAGATGACGTCATCTTCCGGCGCCGGCATCCCTACGCGGTGCGCGAGGGAGCTGAAGAGGAAGCAGTGAGTGCTCCCTCGCGCGCCCGCCCGCCTGCCCGACCGGCCACTCGCCCAGGAGCCCAGCAGCACCACTGGACCCCAGGGAATAATCCCCCCCAGCACTCCAATAGGTAAGGAGGCTGGGGGGATTACATTTAAAAAAAAAAAATGTGTGTTTGTGTGTGTGTTAGTGTTTGTGTGTGTGAGTGTGTGTGTTAGTGTGTGTGTGTGTTAGTGTGTGTGTTAGTTAGTGTGTGTGTGTGTGTGTGTGTGTTAGTTAGTGTGTGTGTGTGTTAGTGTATGTATGTGTGTGTTTGTGTGTTAGTGTATGTGTGTGTTAGTGTTTGTGTGTGTGTTACTGTATGTGTGTGTGTGTGTGTTAGTGTATGTATGTGTGTGTTAGTGTATGTGTGTTAGTGTGTGTGTTAGTGTATGTGTTTGTGTGTTAGTGTATGTGTGTTAGTGTGTGTTAGTGTATGTGTTTGTGTGTTAGTGTATGTGTATGTGAGTGTGTATGTGTGTTAGTGTATGTGTGTGTGTTAGTTTATGTGTGTTAGTGTATGTGTGTGTCAGCATGTCTGTGTGTGTGTCAGTATGTCTGTGTGTGTGTCAGTATGTCTGTGTGTGTGTCAGTATGTCTGTCTGTCTATGTGTCAGTATATATGTGTGTGTATATCTGTGTGTGTCAGTATGTGTATGTGTCAGTATGTCTGTCAGTGCGTCAGTATGTCTGTTAGTGCATGTGTATGCATGTGTCAGTATATCTGTCTGTGTGCCAGTATGTCTGTGTGTGTGTGTGTCAGTATATCAGTCTGTGTGTGTCAGTGTATGTGCCTGTGTGTGTGTGTCAGTATTTCTCAGTGTATGTGGGTGTCAGTATATCTGTCAGTGTGTGGGTGTCAGTATATCTGTCAGTGTGTGGGTGTCAGTATATCTGTCAGTGTGTGGGTGTCAGTATTTCTGTCAGTGTATATGTGTCAGTATGTTGATCAGTGTATGTGTGTGTGTCAGTATGTCGGTATATGTGTCTGTGTGTCAGTATGTCTGTATATGTGCCTGTGTCAGTATGTCTGTCAGTACGTCTACCAGTGTATGTGTCTGTGTGTGTGTCAATATATGTACCTGTGTCAGTGTGTCTGTCTGTGTATGTGCCTGTTTATCTGTATGTAGTCAGTGTATGTATCTGTGTATCTGCTTGTGCGTCAGAGTGTGTACCTGTGCATCTGAGCCGCAACTTTAAATACAAATACACCCCTCCATTCAAACT